ATAATCCACGATGACAGACTACAATGGATCCTGGCTGCATTTGATATTTCCTTGGCATGGATCTATTTTAGATTCTATATACGGGGAGTCTCGAGTTTCGGTGATCTAATTTTATCCGAGCATAGAGTATATATAGTATAGAGTATATTACAGTACACAGTATATATATCATATCAGAGTATCTGTCTTAATTAGAAAAATTTTTGATTGGCGTTAGAACTAGTAGACTAGTTTAGAAACGACTTGTGTCAGACATTTTGTTTTTCCATTATATAATTCTAATATCAAGGAATTACTATAGGAAAGTGCGATACAAAGGGAATAATAAGGGATTTGCAGTGTTACGTTTAATCTACTCACGCCAGGTGTGTTTAGCATGCGTGGTCGTGAAAGATTTTGAAAGTAATTTGCGCCGGTAATACCGGTAACCAGGCACACGATCTGGACTCGTGTATCGAAATACCGGAAGTATGTACGAACGAAATGAAATTCGTTTCGCTCTATTTCCCGCCGTTATAAAGTTACATTTTTAGAAAAAAAAAATGAAAAACGCATTGCGACTTTTAAACGCTGATTTCACCTCCTCGGAATGATATTTAGCGAAACGAAAAATTGCTACACGCATAACCTCATTATGCCCCGCGCACCCGCGAACTTTCGTTGGTGAATAAAAAAATTTCGTCGAGTTTTTCGAGTAATTAAATATCACAACGTAAAAGAATTTTTTCACTTCGACGATAGAGCGAAACTTTTCAAATAAAAATGTCTAACTTTTAGTGCTCCATTTTCCCTGTCGTAAAAATTTTTTTCCTGCGAGTTCCCGTTCGAAAAACAACGAAAGTGTTAAAACCTCGATTGTCCGTTTCACCCTCTCAAAAACATTTCCTGCCGACAAAAAAGTTACGCCGCGTGTAACGATGAAACAAAGTTCCATTAGAATCCGAATTTTCCAGCTGGAGGCTTCAGAAGTTCTTCGAAAAATCCGATTGTCGCATTTCTATAGTCTATTCTAAGTTCAACTTTTGATCGATGCCATAGTTTCGCGAGGTGAAAGGAGTTTCGTGCTTAGATATCTCCATTCGCGATCTCAATTTCGACGAATGGTATTCTTCCTCCAAAAAATGCTGGAAAATCGATCCTCTTAATCCTTTCGTTATTACGGATGACTATAGTCACCGGTCACGAGAACTGAGCCATAATTAAAAAATTAAACAAGTGCTATCGTTCAGCTTGGCAAAGAATTTCGAGTGCTATTGCGATGATCCGTTTTTCCTTTTCTTTTTATTTATTTTCCAAACGACTTGGCACCGAATGCTAAATACTCCCTCGTAACTATAACGCAGGTACACTACGTACGCGAAACTATTATTAACCCTTTCGCTACTACTATATACTATAGTCACCGATTATGAGGCGCCACCTACACACGACGGGTGACTATAGTCATTGACCATAAAAATTAAGGCAAGTGCTATCGTTTCACTTAGCTCCCTTAGCTCCCTTCGCAAATTATAAGCGTTATTGCTATGGTCGGCTTTTATTTCCCCCCCTTTTTTTTCTCTCTTTTTTTTTTAAAGACTTGTCCCCGAATTTTAAAGATGGCGCACGCATAATGTTTCCCCCTTTGATACGACGCTTCGTTCTACAGTAGGAACTCCGCGCCGATGTTCATCATAGCGGAAGGGTTAACACTAGAACCAATAGGTACCTGAATATAATACTCGTAGATAATAGTAACTTCAGAGATACGACGAAGATAAGTAAATATATAAAAGCAAGTATATATTTTTAAAAATTGCAAAAAGAAAATTCCGAGACCAGTCTTTTCCACTAGATTGGTAGTCCTAGTGTTAAAATATAGTTCGAATATTTTCCCGATCCACTAGAGGAACCTCGCACAGCAAAGGATCTCGAGGCACGTCCTCGGCCATGAATCACCAAAGTCGAGCGTCGGATATAATTTAGACCTCAAAGGGTTAAACAGTATTTGTCGTACGTTAATAGAGATTATTAGGGAAAAAATATAACTAGCTAGTATTACCTCGTTTCGTTATCTGCTTCAAACTCGAGATATCGTTCTCCGGCCGGGACACGCGTCATCGGATGCTATTGTCCCACGACCTGACTTTACTTAGTCACTCCTATCGCGGTCCATTATTCCACGAAGGCCCAGGAACCGAGACGAAAATGCAGGGAGGACTCACCCTCTCCCTCTCTCTCTCTCTCTCTCTCTCTCTCTCTCTCTTTCTCCATATGTACACAGATAAGGAAGAGAAAAAGGGGGGACAAAATGGAAGAAAGGAAGAGCGACGACAAAATGGGACCATAGTTCACTTTTCGAAGGCTGTCGGAAACACCTTTATAAGAGGGACTTTAACACCGGGGCACTAAAGATAAGCCGAAAACCCCCGTCGATGATGTATGTTTGAGAAATGCAACGGAGGAATTAAGATTTACAACGTCGTATAACCATTGTGGGCCCGGTCGGAACACGCGCGCGCAACTAGGGTCACAACAATTTTAAGGAGATCCTTTTCAACTTGAGCGGAACATAATAAAGCTCGTTTGCCCGTCGCGGTCATAAATATTTATCGGTGGAGAAAAGAGTTATACAGCGGGGCCAGAAAACGCTTTATTTACTCTGTGGCAGCGAGAGTTGCAAACGTGGCTCGATTTACGACCGTTCGCCCCGATAATTCCTCGGCGAGTTCCTTCTGACGAGCTTTAAACATTTGCAACGCGCGAGACCTGCCTCGCTAACTAGAATGCCATCCTTGGATTACCACGTGCCACACTCCGATACGTATATATACACACTTGCTGGAGGATGCCTGATCTTTAATCGACGATTCGGCCGATTTATGGGAATTTAACGTGCGCGCGGCTCACGGAGACTCGCGTAACCATAAATCCGCATTACGTCGTCGGATAACGAACGTAACTTTGCGTCATCGGTGATCGCGACGATCGCGAACCTATTGGATGTACGTACGTATATACACGTAATAATCTCGCGATCATCGCCTGTGCGATCTTCCGTATCGTATGTACACAGACATCGTATACAGTCGAGTGTAATTCGACGGTCAAGTGTGGTATAAAAATGACGAGCGATGACTGACCGATAAACCGATGGGGGACCGGAAGCGATCGAGATGGCGCTGCGTTTTAGCATGCCGCTGAGCGGCGGGACGTCACGTAACTAATCTCGTGGCTCGTCGTGCTTTTCGATCCGCGATTACGTCTGGAACAGGCAACGCTATCGGTCGTGTGTGGCAAACGTTGAAAAGCGGAGCGATCGTATCGATAATAATCGGGCCGGGAAAATGGCGGGGAACGGGCGTGACCGTAAGCGTGCCAAGGTGATTCTCATTCCGTCCACGTTTGCCGTATGCGTCACAGAGACGGAATGGAAATCCATGCACAGGTATCGGAGAGAAGCCGAGTAAGGGGCCAAGGGATCGGAGTCAGAGCTCGATCGTTAAAGGGGGTAAAGCGTTTACAGTGCCGTGTTTCACCGCCCAGCAATGCGAAACAGTTACACAATTATCGAAAAACCATTACGTCGACATTGCCCGGCGACGGTGTGTACACGTGTGCGCGCGTGTGTACGTATGGGCACGATGCACCCTTGCCACCACCGGCGTTCTGGTAAGCAGACGAACCCGTGATTTATAACTCTGGCTCCTCGTAAATATACGCGCGACGATATATCTTTCGAGCTTGTCGTGAGAGGGCAAGCGCGCTTTTCGAGCCGGAGAGAGTTCCTTTTCCTTGCTCCTCCTTTCCTTCTCGCGGCTACTCGCTTTCCTCCTCCTTTTTTTCCCCCCGGACCGTGCTACCCTTTTCTTCCTCGCTCGCGGACTCGATTGCGCGATGACTTACACGCTGCAACGCGGCCAACGCGACGCCGTCCACCGATCCAGTTTACGATCATCGTAAAATAAATCAATAGACGTGCCTCTATGTTCGCCGCCATATTCCGATATGGCAATTCTGCTTTGCTTTCTCTTTTTTTTCTATCACGTGGGTTTATACAGCCCTCGCTGGGAAGTCTCTATTAGCCCCCTATTATGGCCGATTCGAGTCCTTCCTTATCCGCGAATTTTTGAATTTTGTTTTACCCGTTTTCCTTAATATTTTATTAGGAGTGTTAATTGTTCTCATCCTTGAGAAATAATTGAATCTCTCTATAATAAGAAATTTTTGTTCCACCATGTAGGTTTATAAAGCCCTCGCTGGGAAGTTTCTATTAGGCCTCTATTATTGCGGATTCTAGTCTTTCCTGGGAATTTTTAAATTTTGTTTTACCCATTTTCCTTAATATATCGTTAGGAATGTTAATTGTTTTCATCGTTGAGAAATATTTTGATCTCTTCGCAATAAGAAGAAGCTCGTCTTTTAAGTCTCAATCTTTGTGTCTTCCAATTCTTTGTTATCTACACTCCACTGAAATGTTGACACTTGACTTTTCATTTGACTCAAGCGCAGGAATCTTGACAGCAAAGTTCCCTCTAATTTTGAGCAATTATTACGCGAGCGATCGCAAATATATATCTTCGAAATATCGATAAGAAGTAAACGAAATTAACAAATTTCGTTGAATATAACGAGTATCATCCTTGTATTAAAATTTTGTTCTATTAGACGATGTATTTGCGTAATTATATGCATCAACTCTTTGAGGCACGATGTGATTAAAAGTGTCCCACCTTTTTGATGCACCGTAAGATTGCAATAGCTGTATGTGCTTAGGTTTATATTTCGTCTGATTTACGTAAAGCAGTTGGTAATATCTTCGAAAAATTTTGTTCCATTTAGAACGCAATAAAATTTCTATGCAACATGTCTCTATTTTATTATCTGAAATCCTGTGCCTCAGAGATAAAATATTCGCTCCACCAATCGAGGATTAATTATCGATAAAAATAAATTATAGTCGCGGTATTTATTTATTTATTAACGAACGTTGCTGTCTGTTTCAGATCAGAGGATCCCACGCCGTAAGATTCACACGGAAGCCGTGGAAAATTCGGCGTACAGAGTGACGATAAGAAGAAACGATCAATGCCAGGGCATCGGAGGGTCGCACATGTTTTATCTCTTCGCGGGACAACATCAGCTTCTTCTCTTCCCCGAGAAAGACGCGAATTCCGCGAACTCGGTTCCAGTTCGAGGGCTGTCCAGTCCAGCGGCCTGCTGACGCCATATTCCTCGCGATCTGCCATCGAGAGGGCCTCGGGAGTCCGCCATCTTCCGCTCTTCGAGGTATGTAAAATCCTCGTCGACTGTTCTATCTCTTCCCTTCGCAATCGAAGATTAAAGCGAGCCCCGCTTCTCGGAATTTTAGTGCAACTTTCTCCCCGGAAGCTACGTTTGAAATTATTACATCGCTGGGCAACATTATCGAATTGAATCTTAGCGTGACCATGAATACGAATCGACCGTTGCTTCCGTAATTCCAGTCGCGTTCTCTCCGTCCCAGTTTTTTCCACGTTTTTCCCGCCGTCTCTCCCACTTAAATGTTTAATAAAATATCAGCCCGACGTCGCGGTACTGTCTCCGGTTTCGTTCAATTGTACGCGTTTAATTAACTACCCTCGTTCGTCGTTGGGGTGATATTAAAATTGTAGCCGGGCCGGTCGTTGGAAAATTAACGAAATTAACGCGACTCGAGTATCACTGTTCTTCCCTCCGCTCGATATCGCTCGCCGGAATCAGCGCCGGGTATATACGGGCGGAGATCTTCGGCGAAATTTCACCGAGGGTGCAAGAGGAATCGATGAGACGTCGCAGACAGGGTTGAACCGCGAATAGCAACGATATCTCTGACCTTTCTTCAGCCCGCGAGTTTCGTATGCTGGCACGCGTTAACTCTCGTTAGGGGTTAACGTCTCCGCGACCAGAACTGCCTCCGCGTTAGTTCGGACGTGACCGCCAGGTGTCTCGACTGTGTAATAGGTCTCTCCGCGTTATCTCCAACTTCGAAGCTGCCTCTGGTGAAGTATCGTCTCCTTTAATGCTCGATATCGGCGCGTTACTTTTAGGGAAGAATTCGTGAACCGTGCCAGCAAATGGTGCCTTTAGTGGAATAAGGGAATGATAAACGAAACTGTATTTTTAGATGCATGGAGACACTCTGGCTAAGAGCCTCTTTCTTTTAAGGCCGCAGTTCGTGTGCTTCGAATCACCGTTTTCAGACTTTCGATTAAAAATTTAATTCTTGCTTCATTTTCATTCCGCTCTTCGCTGTTTGTATCTTCATTTCGTGCATTTTTAAATTCGTAGCTCGCTTCCATAACTGACACTTTTAGAAAATTCGTTTAATAATTGCAGTGCTGATAGATAAATGTATATACATGCTTGCTCGATAAATGGCAATTCTCTGTATCTCTTTCTTATTTATCTGATTTTACCTGATATTTCCGAAGTAGGAATTATGTAGCAGTCTCTGCTACTTTTCGCAAAATGTTTCATTTAATGCCTCGCGAATCAGGGCCGTTCACTTCGGGTTCTTAGAACGTCGTGTTAGGAATCCGGAATCTGGACGCGTTTATTGAAGTGGCGGGGCTTGATTGATGGCGAACCAAAGACCCGCTGGCTCGACTTCCTGTCCCTTCCATCAGTTCCTTCTCGTTATCGAAGTTTCTCAACGTCGGGGCGACAAAGTTGCCCGGGAAAACTCGTCGCCGAGACGAAACAAATTTCGTTTCCGAAGCAATTTGACGCGGATGTCGCAAATCCGTTGTTCCACGGCTTAATATCACCGATATCGAGCTGACGGACGGCTGACGAGTTTCGCGGCGTTTCGCCTGTTTCGATCCGACGTCGATTAGCATTTTATCGGTGTCAGTTTCGCGAATGGAGGGCGTTTCGCGTCAATTACAGACGCGAACAGCCACTGTTTTTACGCGAACCCACGCGACACGGCAAACGAGCTGTCGTTGATTGGTTGTGTCATCGTCAGGACGCTATGGGTTCGTCGTTTCGTGTCGAAATCCAGTCGGAGGCTGGATACTGTTTGGAATTGGGGTTGCGCAAAGTGTCTCGGAACGATGGAGTTGGGAACTTGCTATAATTGATGGGAGAATAGCGGGGAAGAATGTTCGCGTTTCTTTAACACTTTCACTGTCACGCACTTTTTATTCGGTGCTGTAGGATGGATTTAGGAAATAGACGTAGAGTTAAGAAGAATCTGTGGTTAGAGAGTTGTTGGTTAACCTCTTAGGCACTAGGCGCCGCTATAGTGGCTTTCGCGGATGTCATCTTTCTGTACGACGCGGCGCTATAGTTAATCATCATACAATAATAATACAATAATTTAATCATCAAACACTTCGTTCCAATGTACTCGTGTAAAGAACAGCATTATCCGTCACACATTGCAGTGCCGTATCATTTACACGTAATTCGCGTTGAACTCTGCCGTACAGAGAAACAGCCCCGCGCAAAATTCAGCCGTGCCTAAGAGGTTAAGATTGGGAGTTGTCAAGTCAGAAGTTTAGTAGTCGCCAGAGTATTTGCATTCTTTAAATATTCAAAAATTGGTTACAATCGGTTAGAACAAATATAATTTTAAAAAATTAATATCGTCGGACACTGATGACCACCATGACAGCGAACGTGATAACAACAAATTGTCGTATTAATATCTTCTGCTCAAAATTCTCTATTTATTTGCGTCGTTTAGGTTTCCAAAAAATCGTTAGAATGAAATAAATATAAATTAAAAAAATTGGTATTGCTAGTCCCACTAAGGAGACAAGCACCGGTCACTGATGACTATCATCGTGTTAAGGTATAAGGGTTTCTACAACCCTTCTTGCCCTCAAAATTTCCTATGATTGTACGATACACGATCAACCTGTTGATATAATTTCGAAGGTTCGTTTAAAAATATTCCAATATCGTAGTGGAAAGGGTTAAGAAAATTTTGGGACTATGAAATCAGTCACTAGGAAGAAATCACTAGGATACTATAACGTATATTATATTTATTAGGTAACATAAAGAAAAATTAGTTTTTAATTAAAGAGAGTAGAATTCGCACGCGAAGGTACAATTTAGAATGCTCGCGAGCTTCTTGCTTTCATTATACATATAATTCATGCGTGTACCTATATGCCAAGGTAGCCAACCTCGTTAATAAACTATAGCCTGTATCTTTAATAATTAAATTTTTAATTTAGTTGTTAATTTGCATCGTTATATAAATATATGTTTACATGTATTATTAATTCGCGACGTTAATTGCGACGCAGTATAACCCCCGATTGGCAGATATTTATTTACCACGTATACGTCTCAGCGACTCATTGCTTCAATGAATCCGTGTTTCGGCAATGGCATTGATTCCACTCGCGCGGAAATTGACTCGAAAGTTCGCAGATTGCCGATATTAAACCGGCAATTTAATAAAGGCGTATCGTCTGTCGATTAAAAAGGCGAGGGGGGCGTGAAACGGGGCTGTGCAAGGGGTAGATTATTTAACGAGCGGCCGCGCGTGGCTTTAAAAGACAATATACCGGAAGTTGGCGGGGTTGGCTACCCGTACGCAGGGTCGCACTGTATTTTCCTTCATTTTAAGTCGTTAGTGTCGACTCGTAAAACGCACCACCGCACGCCCATATGCTCTCCCTTCCTCTATATACCTCCCTTAATCTCTTTTCCCGTTATCAGAGCTGCATATTTAATGCACTTAGAAACCTAGCTCTGTATTCATAACTCGCTGTTAGCGCTGATAGTAGCTGTACAGACCGCGTAAAAAGCACAGGGAAGTTGAAAGCGTTGGTAGAAGAGAATTTCGAGTACATTGGCACGAAAGGGTGACTCAAAGTGATCGTATTTCTGTCAAGCTTACACCGTAATGACGTTTACTGCCGACATGCGGAAAGATAGATATATCGTTATCAAAATTGGTCAAAATATATTTTTTTCATATACCAAAAGACACGTAAAGTAGCACAATATTCGTATTTTAATCGGAGTCATCTACACATCATCGAAAGATTGAAAGATGACGATCAAGGTTGCTTTAATATGAATCATTTATTTATTTATTTATTTATTTATTGATTTATTCTTTTTCTCAATTTGATTTTGATTTGGTTTTTTTTCGAAAGATAGATATATCGTTATCAAAATTGATCAAAATATATTTTCTTAATATACCAAAAGACACGTAAAGTAGCATAATATTCGTATTTTAATCGGAGTCATCTACACATCATCGAAAGATTGAAAGATGACGATCAAGGTTGCTTTAATATGAACCATTCATTTATTTATTTATTTATTTATTCTTTTTTCAATTTGATTTTGACTTGATTTTCTGCAGAAGATAGATATATCGTTATCAAAATTGGTCAAAATATATTTTTTTAATATACCAGAAGACACGTAAAGTAGCACAATATTCGTATTTTAATGGGAGTCATGTACGTGTGTTTAATATTATCGAAAGATGACGATCAGGGTTGTTTTGATATGAGTCATTCATTTTATTTATTTATTTATTCTCTTATTTTAATTTCATTTTGATTTGACTTTTTTATTTTCTGTGTTTAACATAAATTTCTACTTTTTTGGAGAGGATTTGGCAGACGAGCGATTCGTCCATCGAACTTTGCCGATCATCTTCGATCAGAGCCTCCGGCAGCGAACGTGTTAATCCACGAATAACATCATCGAGATGAAGTAAACGATATCGCGTTTGGTCACGTCGAGACGCTCCTGCTGAGCGTTTTACCCCTGCTGAGAGTCAGGGAAAATATCCTTTTGCGGGTTAATCATTCTCTATGACACCCAGTGGTACTCAAATTATCCTATAGGCTTCGAAGAGTAACTAATTAACTATTACACGTATAGTAAAAGACTTTTAGATTGGAGACATAGCGAATTCGTAAATGCTTATATGCTATCGTGTTTAAATATTTTGGTGTTTCATAGTATGAGTGTGGAGCTTTGCAAAATGTTAAGGATAATATTCTTTGGTCCTTTTAAAAATATTAAAAATATTCTTTGGTTTGTCTCTCGTATAGAAGTAGTTTACACGTTAGCTAGATCCCATGTAGAAGCCTCGAAGCCATCTTAGAACGACAGAAAGTCATAGGACAGTTAAGAATACACGTTACTCCACGTTTGACGCAAATTACTGTAATTAATAGAAGTACATATGGAGGATTAAAGACGATGCACCCACGGAAGTTGGTGAATTTTAAGGGATTAGACCTGAAGTTATTCTATTCCATTAAAATACTGAAGTGGAGCAGAGGAAGTTTCGTACACCCCTGTTCGTCGCGATATTCGCGATATTTCTTCGTGAGCTTAGAGTCTTAAACGAGTTTTAGAACACTATCAGAAGCTTTTAGATAACGCTTTGCACAACGCTGTCGTAGATTTTTCATAGTTGAAGCCAAACAGTCGTCGCGTCGAAGTCAGAAGTTCCAAGTTCATCAAACCTAACCTAAACTTTAAATCATTTTCTGTCTCTCTTCGAATATTAAATCTGTGCAGACAGAAAACTGCTTCGATGTTCAAACAAAATGACAATATACAATTACCATTGTATATCAAACGTTGAATTAATATCATAAAACGAGAAGACAGGATACAGTAGGTTTGGTATAAAAATTACACCGTAATCGTATTACAGAAATTATATTTAATACAGTATGAGACAAACTTTGAATTATTTTTACTTTATGAGATTGAATTATATTCACTACTCATTTATGTGTACTTTACACGTATTCCGCTAGTGTCAGATAGCGTTGTTGTATTTATTCTAGGGAATTCTCAATTCTTAGATTAATTCTCTCAGTTCGAGAATTCTCAATTCTCAGATTAATTCTCCCAATTCGAGAATTCTCAATTCTCAGATTAATTCTCCCAATTCGAGAATTCTCAATTCTCAGATTAATTCTCCTAATTCAAAAATTCTCAATTTTCAGATTAATTCCCCCAATTTGAGAATTCTCAATACATAGATTAATTCTCTCAATTCTCAGTTCGAGGATTCTCAATTCTCAGAGTAATTCTCCCAATTCGAGAATTCTCAATTCTCAGATTAATTCTCTCAGTTTGAGAATTCTCAATTCTCAGATTAAAGGAATCTTAACTGGATAAATAAATTACTCTCTCTTTTTTCTATTAGGGGTTAAATAATATTCCAATACCAGGCCCAAAGAACATCTGCTGAGAAAATCGTGCCTACAAACAATTCCGATTCTTCCGAGGTCCCCATAGCGAAAATACCGATATTCTTTTCATCCATTTCAACAATTTCCAAAAACCTTTTCGCGCAGCTTAAAAGGAACTTGTTCGCGCTGAATTTGCGACATCTCTCTAACGGAAACGGCCCAGTGCAAAGGGTTAATTTATTCAAAGAGCCGCGGTCGCGTGCAAACAATTGAACCTGACCCTCTCCGTACCATTTATCACGCAACAAACCTTCTTTCCGAGTCTCCTCTCCCGTGTCCTATATTTTTCCACGCGGATATTCATTTCGATCGACGAGTCGAAACATCGCGTACCCGCGCGTACGTGGAAGAAACGAGGCAGGGAAAGTAGAAAAATGGGTTAATACCGAAACGTGGCGCCCTGCACGAGGATGTTCTACTTGTTAACAAAAAAACGGAAAAAAAATAAAGCTCGCTGAGAGAGAGAGAGAGAGAGGGGGAGAGAATTCGGCCGCGTCTAGTAATTCTTAATGCGGCACAATGTGTGCCGGTTTAAAATGGAGAAAAACAAAATTCTGCCCCCGTGATATTCTCCCTCTGCAAAAAATTTATGCACCACTCCTCCCCGGAGCAGTACCATATACTTACAAGCAGTTAGAGCATACAAGAGCCCGGATAATTGATGCACATCCTAAACGAGGCCCGACTAACATTACGCGTAATAACTTAATTCTATGAGGCATGAAAACCCCCCTCGTCATTTCTCCCGCGTCTTCGTTCGTGCGAGATGAAATCGCGCGATAACACGGGGTGCGTGTAACGAATTTCGCGAGTTTCGCGAAATGTCGGTCAAAGGGACACGGCTGAGGAAGAGGAAAAGGTGGGAAAAATAAGGACCGTCGCTTTGGGAGCGAGCAGAAGAGAGCTTTGGCCGTGAACGCGGCGCGAAAGTAGGTGAAATCGTTGAGAATTTTCCGCGACCCTGTCGAAACAATCACGAGTCACGAGTCGGTCCTCTGGAACGCGCAGGAAGAGGGAAGAAAGGGGGGTCGGAGGGTGGAACTCGAACGAACGCGTTCGAGGTCGATAACGAGATTCGCGATGGATTATCGCGAATGAAACGCGTTAACCCTTTCACTGCCACGCAATTTAAAATCACGTGTTTCTCTCAGGACGACAGGGGAGTATTTATATCATCAAAACGTACGTAGCGATCGTCATTCGCACTCTCGCCGCTAGATGGATTCCTGCTTCACGGAGGTCCGAGGACTTTCTCGCAAGTGCTCGGTGCATACCTGATCTCCCTTAAATAGAAGTTCCGATGCAAGCTAAGTATCCCCTATCTGAGACTGGGTTCTACTGATAAGTCCACTAGTAGGACGAAACGCATCCCTCCATTTTTCTTTCATCCCTTCCACCATAACCGCCACACGAGGATATCCCGCGACTAGCTGGCATCAACAGTGTATAGGAAGCACCCTCTACACATATAGGCGCCTTCGGTCACCAATGACCACCGTGACGTCACAGGAGAAACCGTGATCGGGTCATATATTGACAGTGACAGTCAAAGTGTCGTTAAAGATCGATAACGAGATTCGATAATAATAAGTGGACTTTTCGATAGTCGATAATAAAATTCGCGAAGCTTCGAGATTGGCGCGATTTCGGTCGCGTGTCCCGGAGCGTAGACCACGCGTGTAACTCGTGGAAGTTTTATCGAAACGGTCCAAGACTTGGAACTTTGGAAAACACTTGGTGCTGGGTGTTCCTAACGCGTTCCCAACCCCTGTACCGCGGAAGGGTGAAGGAAGAAAGCACGGTCGAGAGGGGGATGGTAGTTCGGTTTGCAGAGTGTTGCGGAAGTTTGTAAATTCAGCGACGCGCTGCTCTCGCGATATTACGTACGAAATTACGAGCAGAGATGCCGCCGTGAATGGGTATATCGACTCCCGGGAGTATATCGGTTTTCATAAAAGGACACATCCGGTCGGCTTTTTCGTCGCGGAAATTCAGCAAGTTCGCGAGATAGCTGCTACCTCGCGCACACCCGGTCGATTGTTAACACCGATAGCCTCGCGTTTGTTCGGCTTGTGTATTGCATGATTAAATTGGCGAAAGGGATGGAAAAAAATGGAGACAGAAAAGGAGAGTACGGAAGCTCCGGCGTATTTATTTCGACGGGGGCCTGTAAAATCGAGATAGAGCGGACGGAATTGCTCGATAAAGGCTCGCGGGTTTTGATCATCGCGGTGTATGTTCTAGTTTCATCCAGGGTATATTCTTCCCCGTCGGACACGATCCCTTTCCTGTCTTCTTCCCTCTCCCCCGCCCCTCGGCGAGCAGAATTTTTCCACGGGAAACTAATTAGAACTCACGTCCTTGGGGTTCGTGAATACGCTTCCAGGTCTTAACCCAGATCCGGGAAACAGGAATGTCATTTCATTGTGCTTTTCAATTTTTGGGAAACCATTGTTAGGGGATGCGGGAAGGACGTGAAATTCGGGGGCGAGCTTGACGTTTCTTTTTTTCCCGAAAAATCGCTCTGAATCTAGCATTGCTGCTAACTAATCGTTAATCGCTCATCGAACGACGTTTCGAGTCTAGAAAATTATTGTCGCGCTTCCAAATCCCGATTTAATTAACTATATCGAATTACCTAGACTTCGGATAAAATTCCAAAAAATTTCGTCGAATTTCCGAAGCTTTTTTCCCCCGATGACCCCCAAATTTTTTAACGATCGGAGCACGTCGTTGGATAAGGGTGGAAAAGGGGGTGGAAAGAGGGAGAGTTAAGAAAAAAGGTGGCAGCGAGCGCGTGGAAGCCGGTGCGCGCGACTCGCGAGCGGAATTCGCACAAAAGTGCAGAACTGAATGGCGGCCGACTCGGTGTTCGTGTCTTAACAGCTCGCGGGTCGGTCAACTTAAAACTGATAGCTTCATATCCTGAGCGTATGGAGGGCAGGAACGCGAGAGGGCTGCTACTTTAACGTGGCACGCTCGATATTAATGCCCGTTTCCACGAGTGCGACGTAACCGGCGGCGGGATCGCCATAATTTTGCGAAATTGCTTGCCCCGGGACGTTTATAATGCGAACAGGCTCACGTAACCCGAGACCGTGTATCTTTCGCAGCGTCGCGGATAAAGTCATAACGATTAAAAAAGGTGACGACTTGATTCCGCCGCGATCGTGCGCTGTGTAAACGGGCTGTACCGGGCAATTACGAAGTTGGAATCGCTCGGGCACGTTCGCGTGCGAATTCCCGTGAACGCTCTTTCGCCCTGTGTGCACGTAACACGTGAAATTCACACACGTTTCGGCGTGTCTCTGTTATCATTTTTGCTTCGAATTTTTCAGATTCTCGGAAGAGTTCTGGGACTGCGGAGTTTTGAGGAGATGGCGAGTAGAACGGAGTGGGGGACGAGGGGTACATTTGACGAGGATTTCCCTTAACGAATAGGAAATTGGGGTAAGTTTGTTTCTTGTTATTATTCTTTAATTATTTTTATTTTTTAATTTCTTTGTGACGAGAATTCGTTGCATTTTGGAAAAGTTTTCATAAGGGCGGTATACATTTACTGATAAAAGTTAAGAAACAACGTAATCATTTGGGAATTTCGGTATACATTTTATCTTCTAAGATATATACGTTAAAACTAAATTACGCCATTTTTAATTTCAACCTATGTATCGTGGAATACATAGGTTAGAAATATACCTAAAATACCAAACGAGTACGTTGTTTCTTAACTTTTGTCAATAAGTGTACATGAGAGCGAAGTAATTATTTCTCAATTTTTTTTATTTTTTTATTTGTTTATAACAAGAATTCCTTGCATTTTGGATAAGTTTTCATGAGGGCGATATACACTTACTTACAATTCTTTATCTTCTATCATACATAGGTTAAAAATGGCATAATTTAATTTCAACCTATGTATGATAGAAGATAGAGAATATATTTAAAATACCAAACGTGTACGTTGTTTCTTAACTTTTATCAGTAAGTGTGTATAGGGGCGAAGTAATTATTATTCCCTAATTTTTAATATTTTTTAATCCGTTTGTGATAAAAATTCGTTTCATTTTGGAAAGATTTTCATGGGGGTGATATATAAAGGATATATAAGTATAATAGGTAGTAGGTATATTTGATCTTCTCCCAAATTTCCCAATTAAATTGTTACATTTTAAATTCTTCGTCGTTTTGTGGTAAAATTTTTTTATTTTTGGGAACATTTTCATGGCGTAGACAAAGCCGATAGTACGAAGCGAATTATTTAATGTCGAAATGTTCTCCGAGCAATAAAATCGAAGCCCAAACCTCACTCCGATATTCAATATTTCGCTCAAATTAGTATGCATCTCTCCATGTCGGTTTCCAAATTTTTCCTTCGATTTGCGGTAAAAATTCGTCGGATTTGACAAAGCAGATAGTACGAAACGAATTATCGAATGACGAAATGTTCTCCGAGCAATCAAATCGAAGCCCAAACCTCACCCTGATATTCAATATTTCGCTCAAATTAGTATATTTCTCGCCATTTCGGTTTCCCAATTTTTCCTTCGATTTGCGGTAAAAATTCGTCGAATTTTCTAAAGATTTTCGGACGGGAAGCAGAATGAACTATACCGACGTGGTTTCCGCGTATAAATCCGCCGTATCTTCGATCGCCCCTCCCACTTCGATTTTTCCGGCGATTTTTCATTTCTACCGGTTACATTTTAACACGCGGCCCATTGTTATCGTTTAATGAACACGACGGGACGGGTCTCGTTATAAAATACAGTAACGACGCGACGATGGAAATTTTCGAAATCGCGCACGCACATCGCAACGTGCAGGTCGAAATGCGGCGCACGCAGCGTAGTTCGTTCGGATTGATAAACGGCGCCGCAAATTTAATTAGTATGGTCGCGCGGGCTCCACGCCCGCTGTAATTTCGGGTTAAAAATTATTCGTAGACCGGCGGGCGTTAATTGCGAGGTTTCGCGGGATCAAAAATCCGCGGGCAACGGCGCCGGAAGGTGACGAGCGCGTTGTTTAACTCGTTCCCAGCCGATTCGATCCATTTCCTCCCAGCGAGCCGATCCAATTTCGGGGATCCACGAGCCGCCGTATCGATGACTGAACCCTCCTCCCGCGATTCGACGGTGAAATACGCTTCGAAACGATCGCTAATCGCGGCCCGCCACCGGCTGCATCGTAGTCGTCGACGTTAATGTTCCACCGATCGCGTTAATAAATTAACGCGCCGCGGCTGCACGCGTTTCGCGCGCCAAGTAAGCGATCAGGTTGCGGAGAAATTTCGGAATTTCGGAAATTTTGCACCAAGTTCGCGGCTTTAAATGATATTCCGCGAAATGAAATTTGCCGCGGGAAACATTTCTATCAGATGTTACACGGTTGTCCTATTTTTCCACCCCCCGCCTCCGCCATTTTTACAGGAATTGCAGCATCGCGATTATCCGATCGGCGTTAATTGGAATATATAAACGAGTTATTCTATGGGCGCGTGTTACAAAAATTGTACAAGCTAATTGCGCAGTGCAAACATTTATTAAATCGTAAAAGGGGAATGTCGATTTTATTTACGATTCGAGGGCACGCTTCGGTGGTGGTTCAAAGTATTTTTGAATCACGAATTTGTTCGATCAATAAATTTTAATAGATTTTTCCGCTTCTCGATACAAAACGGTGTCTTTGACCTATTAACCCTTTGCACTCGACGATTTTTTGGCTGAAGAGGAGTAGGAGCTCAAAGATTTTCTGCTGTAAAGCTGACGATATTTCTTTCAGCAGTAAATAAGAAATCGTAATATAATTAGCACGTAGAATTATTCGATCTTCGAAATTTTATCTAATAGCGATTGGAGGTCGCCTCTCGAGTGCAAAGGGTTAAACGTTATATTATAAACGTGTCTTAATTAGAATTATCAATTATCACGAGTGGCTAGAAATTATGACGAATATTTATTTATTTATTTATTTATGTATTAAATAGAAAAATTCATCGGTAGCTCTTCGTTCACTTTCAATTTTACCATAGGCCTTCTATTTTCGGACAAAAGAAATTCGGTGGAAGACAGAAACAAACTTGGACTTTGTCCGTTAATTACTACGTTTTGATAAAATTCGCGTACTGCCAAAATTCCGGTACTATCCTAACATTCGACAACTTTTTTCCATCAATTCGAACATCAAACTGTGAAAAATTCCTAATCACTCTACCCTCAGAATTCTTATCACATAACCAAACCCCACGCATCTAAAAATATTTTTCTAAAATTCAAGCTCAACTCGACGATTAACCCAAAAATCGGTAGTTCTTCGTTCCCCTTCAAATTTTATCGTAGGACTTTTATTTTTGTATCAAAGAAATTCGGTGAAAGACAGAAACAAATCTGGACGCCGCTGTTCGGAAAAGCGTGGAGGGGTGGAATCGTCGGCCGATTAGGGCAATTCGGTGTGCCCGGCCTTGGCCGAGGGAAGGCGGTAGCCTTTGTTGTAATCAAGGAGAGAAGAGAAGAGATACTCGATGGTCGGCGAGAAGTTTTCCGCCTTGGTCGGAAATGGCGGCGCGAGGAGGAGCGTGGGTGATATACAGCGGCTCTCAGCAAATTAAATGAGGGTGGTTTGCAGTGCTGACACGTACACTCGTTCGTCACACCCTAACCACAGGGTAGCCCTCTCACTTACGCTGGACAGACTTGCCCCCACCAGGGCCGTGGCAAAATTGAACTGCAACATCGATGATAATGGCGAGGCATACTTCAGCCGCGTGCGAGGGCCAAAAAGAGAGCATCCAGAGAGAGAGAGAGAGGAGATTCACGGGGAGAGAGCGGCATGATCTAACCGGTTCCTCGGACGTGAGTCGCTTAAGAGTTGGCCCGCGGATCCGTCTGCATTTACATCCCCTTTAATTCGCGTCTATGCCTAATTTATGGCCTTCGCGATGTTAATTCCACCGATTACTGTGTTTCCACGCACTCTTTCCCGCCCTCGGAACGGACTCTGTGCGATTCAGCTGGCAATTTATCGAGCCACTCTCCCTTCGTCTTCCGCCACCTTTCTTGACTCTCGGCTTTCCCTCTTCGCCTCCGCTTCCGGCTCCGGCTGTGCTTTATGCCGGGGATTTCGTAGGGGAGCGAAATTCCTACTTATCGGAACACGCGAGAAATTAATCGCTCAATTTTAGCCGCCTGTATCGCCGTGTTATAGAGTTTAGACTCGCGGAGAAAGAGTTTACCTTCACCATTCGAGCAGAGTTTGCTGATTTACTTCGATTACACGGTAGATCTTGGCTAGGGGTGTTTAGAGTCCTGGAGGAAATAAGAAGGTAGCTTTGATCGATCGATCATTTGGTAATTGACATGTCAAGTTCGTTGTACCACCGGGACGTCGTGTAAAAAACATTCGGAAAGGTAGAACTATGTAAATCCGTACTTGCATCGCGTCTACTCGGTTTTACTTTTTGAAGGAGAAATTAGAAATGTAAAATTTGTTTCATTTTACATGTGGAATAATTTAATTAAAAATGTGGATAGAATTAAAATGTAATTCGTGTCGGAGTTATGGCTCGAAATGAAGTTCCACCGGCATTGCCTTTCGAGTGCTGGTCTAGCTCCTTCGTCGGTCAAATTTCCTCCATTCCGAGAATTTGTGTGTTTTTCACTTGGCAACGTGTTTCCAGAGGAACCCCATTTTTATAATTATTTCCTAAACCGCGTTATCCGAGAGTAGCAGCGGGATTTTTATCCCCCGTTATAGGAGTGTCGCGTTACCGTATATTATAATTAATTTATTCAAATATGTCCGTCGTGCTTTTCAGTCGTTAAAATTACCTTAAAAAGCAAACACATGTACAGCGAGTTATGCGTCCCACGGTAAATACTTTATGATAAACTACGCGATAAAATCCACCGCCAGCTATAAAAATGAAAAAGGATCCGAAGAACGAGAGAGTTAAAAATTGTCGGTATAAGTGAATTAAAAAATATCAATAGGGGGCACGATTTCTCGGACACACTTGCGAGACAACGAGCTCTCATTGTAGACTTCAGTTTGCCACGCAATCTCAATCAACTACACCCAAAGGCCTCGGACAGGAAGATCTATCCTTCTTGTTGTACCAGTTCAAATCTTCCGCTCGTAGCTGGTTCTTTGGTTCTTCGATCATCTTCATCAGTTATCATTAATCATCGCGATCTTTCATGAGTAATCACTCTCGAACCTCTTTTCCGTGGATGATTTCTTCGAGACCCGCCGAAGACTGATTGCTTCCTGTGTTTTCAAACTTGTACATTATCGTGTTAAACCCTCGTAAAACGCTTCGGCAAACCTCGCGAAGGCTCCCGCGTGCGCGGTTAATTCGATGATTCCCTTTACCTGCAACAGGAACAATAAAAAGAAGGAAAAATCCAAAGAAAACTGTAGGAAAACACCATCATCCATCGCGAGATAAACCG